CTAAAACTCAGCTGTGAGAGAGAACACCCGGGTTCTGGGGGGACCCTTTTATTGGAGGACTCCAGGCCAGCTCCAGGGCCACCAACACAGTGGCGAGAAGGTTCATTTCGGGCCGGGAACACTGTGAGAAGGCCTAACGGGGAATGCACGCGGCTTCTTTCTCTACAAGACCGGCACCTTTTCTCTGTCTCAGGTCAAAATGTTTGGAAGCTGAATTCCAGTGCGTCCCCAATTTAGCCTTCAGGGAACTGAGGGACTGTCCAGTCACAAACCTGCACAGCACTGTAGCATGTAACTCCATTACAGTTCAGAATGGCTTTGCACCTAGCTTTCTTCAGGCCCCAGGATGACAAGGGAACCCTCACCATTTCATTCACAACTGCAGCTCAAAGGTGGGGATACACCTGGATATTGACAAGGGCGTTCCCACCAGGTCGGCTCAATAACAACAACAACAGCCGTGGGAAGGACGGATTCCTTATCAGTGGCAATGACTGGCAATCCAGAATGCAGGTGGATAAAGGCGATTTACAGACCAACAACTCTGGACTGAAGCCAAAGACCAGCCCTGCCCCTCCTCCATCCTGCTAACTCACGTGCGTGCAGTGCTGACTAGTGACCGGCAGGAGATAAGGCCCCCGATCTGCTCTAAGGTGATAACTGAGATAATAACCAATGAGTATTTTCATTCCTTGATATGGAGGAAAAACTCGCATGCAGGTGAGACTTCTGGTACTTAGGATGCCATTCAAGAGCTACCTTCTGTGCAGACGGCAATTAGGTGGCCTCAAAGAAGTCATTTTTTATGCCTACACCATCTCTAAAATGGGGCTGGAGGGACCGAGAGAATACTATTTGACAATCTAGTATATGGTTGTATATCTACTGAACCTGAAAAAAAAAACAGAGGCACCCGTGTTTCTCAGGGATCCGGAAAGCATTTTGCTTAGGTCTGCCAGACACAGAAAACACTGGGCCACTTGCCTCAGATTGTTTTCTTAATTCGGTGGGGTTCATCATACGTCTTCGAATGAGAGAAAATGGAGCTGATTGTATCAGTCCGATAACCATAAGCAGTTCACAGTAAGGTAAGAAGGTACATTTTGGCGGAAGCCAGCGTTGCATTTGATGTATTCTTAACTCAGCTAACAAGCAGGCTTTCAAGCCACGTTATCTGCCCCCACATCTTGACCTAATTTAACAAGTTGCCATGGGAGCCCAGAAAAGGTTGATGCAATTTTCTTATCTTTGGAGGAAGAGTGTAACTGTGCAAGAAAATGTGAAAATTCAGTTTCTAACTGATTTCCACACTTACAGTGCAGTAACTAAGACATCGTATGAAGAAATAAAAGGCATGTCTTTGGAGCTGAGAAGGGTGAAGACCTGGACTCCTATTATCACAGCAGGAAGAGGGATTCTGTTCCCAGCTCAGTGAGTCTACGCATCCACCCTTTCGCTCAGGCCAAGCAGTGGTGGTATCAGCACACAAGTGCTCCCACTGTGTGGCCACCCATACTCTGGAGCAATCAAATTGTAAGGGGGGAAAAAAACACAAAAAAGGAAGGCAGGAGTTGAGGTTAAAAATAGGCATGACTTTTACGAGCAATAAAAAGCTTTGCAACACTTATATGACGCCTTCCACCTTCCAAAGTACTTTTTCAACCTTTGGTGCATCTTAACACGACCGCATAAAGCCAGAGACCAGGTTATGTTCCCGTCGCCGCCTGCTCTTCGGGTGGTGGAGGGGGCTGAACTGTCTCTGAAATGTACCTGAACGTGTATCAGAAATGTGAAAGGGCCGCGGTGAAGGTAACACAGCAAGGAGCCACCACCTAGAATCAGTATGCAGTGTGGGCAGGAGACTTTCACCCGGCATTGGGCAGAGGAAAAAAGCCATCTAAATGTGGGCTGCCCCCCACATGCCTGGCAAATCCTGACCTTCATTCAAACCACAGAAATAAGAAAATTCAATTGAAGCCTAAACACAATTATAACACGTTGAATTTGACAAGATACTGCACCCTCAAAAGCTTCTGGCACTTATCTGCACTCCACATGTGCCGGGAACATTTGCTGAAATAATTGATTTGTTACAATTGGGCTTCCCCCACCCTAGGTCTAGCACAAAGTCTAGCACTTATTTGTTTAATTAATTGATTTGGTTGAATTACATTTTCACAGATCTTCTACCACCAAGATAAGGATGAGCACTTCCACTTTGCTAAAAGTAGAAAAGGGTAGAAGGCGAATTTGCCTAAAATCACACAGTGTGTTAGAGTTGGGAGGGGGCACGGAGGACTTCTGTTTTCTGGAGTATTGTTCTCACCGTCGTGTGAGGTAGTATGAAAAGGTAAATGTACAATTATAAAGGAGAAACAGCCGAATGCTGAGATCCTTAAAAATGTTTTTCTTTTTCTTAATTCAAATGGCTACTTTGGTCTTTGAGGCCTGTAATTAATAGTCAGCTTCCCTTTCCTTCCACTCACTGCATGTTTTATTGCAGGGGAGGAAGGAAGGAAGGAAGGAAGAAAGGAAGGAAGGAAGGAAGGAAGGAAGGAAGGAAGGAAGGAAGGAAGGGAGGGAGGGAGGAAGGAAGGGAGGGAGGGAAGGAGGGAGGGAGGAAGGAGCATTAAAAACAATATATCCAGATAAGGGATCAAACACAACTCAGACCTCCAGGACATATCTGTATTTGTGCTGAGAACTTTGGATGCTTTTATCTGTGTGCCCCCAAGTTTGGATTGCCAGAGAAGCCTCACAGTGTTGCCTCACGGACAGCCTTTTGTAGTTGGCTCTCTCAACTACTCATGTCCCTAATTTGTACTTCACACTCATTCCTAGTCCTTAACATTTCTTTCATCTCTTTCCCTCTCTCTTTAAAACTTGGACACTTGGAAAGATCCCCCAACTCTCAGACAATTCTTGTCAAGATACTAATATCATCTTAGGCAAAACCCTTTAAGTGGCTTTTGGAGACTGTTAGCTCTGCAGGCTCCTTCCATGAAGAAAACCCAACAGCTGACACATGCAATGCTTGGGGAGAAGTTTCTGCTTGAAGTGGAAATCAGGCCTGCCCCTTTCTGGAAACACCTAGACCTGGGGCAGTGCCATCATGGACCCTTACCAGAATCTCACCCCAGGAAGGCAGACCTAAACCATGAGGCTTCCTTTGGCCAAAACCCACACTTGAGGACCTAAAGTCAGTTTACTTAATCCCATTCCCCACAAAACTGCCCTAACTTGCCAAATGGACAGCATCACATATGTAGCTAAGGGAGAATGATGAAAACTGTCACAGGTGAAGATTTATGGTTGTGGGCGTGGATGTGGATGGTGGTTGTACTGGTGATTATGCAGAGAGAACAAAGACACACTGAGGAGGAATGAGGCTGAGGATGTGGTCCTGGAAGTGAGGGTGGAAGTTGCAGACTGCTTGGCCTTCAGGCTCGGGCAAGCAACAGAGCGTAGTTTTGTCTGCTCCTCAAGAACAGAAACAAGCATGGCCAGTCAGCGTATCCAACCAGGGTCTAGTTCTTAAAACATCTACAACTCAACTCGTAACTACAGAAGCCAGGACTTTCGTACATCTTGAAAGAGACTTCATTTACTTTTTCTCATTCCAGATGTCATTAACAGAAATGGGCAAACTTTCTAAAAACCTGCTTTCTGGAGATGGAAAAGGAGTTCCTTTCCAAAGTAGCAAGTTCCCACACAGTAGTGACTTTCAAGCAAGGACCATGGGTGACAGTGTAGAAAGGACAGAGCAGGGGACCTTTCCTTAAGTTCCTTTCTGGCCCATGACTCTATTTACAGATCTTGTCACTCCCTGAAAACACAGACATAATTCCGGAGCCCCTGTGCAAGCTCTGAACCGCACTCAGAGACACATGGACTGCAACATAGAAGGCACATTCCCGATCTTCAAAAAAGGAGCAATTTCTCTAAGCTTTGGAGTTGTTCTCAAAGGTCAGCCAGTTTCTCTAGTAATCACTGAGACTTCACTGACATGAGAATAAAGATGTAGCACGCTCCTCAGATCAGATCAGACAGCTCCATAGAAGCACAGCCTTGGCTGTTTATCTTCGTCCAGACAGAGGGTCCCCCACATGGCAAACTCTCCAGGATGGAGTAATTCACAAGAGAATCAAGGCCTGGACCTCAGATGAGTGATCAATGAAAACTGTGTAAGCTGCACTCACAACACAATTTTGAGCAAACACTCTAGTCTTACAGAAAGGATCTGGTCATGAAGACTAGAATGCTCCTTGGATATTTCTCATATACACACTCCAAACGTTTCCAGGGTGCTACAACTCACGTGGATAATAAATTGTTGTGCACTATTACCAGATGCTCAACCAAAGCCCACATTCTGAACATGCATCTTCCTTTCTCAACTGTCTTTCTTCGCTCACCACTACTGTAACTTTCACTCCTGGAAGAAAATCAGTACCAAAGCCAAGTGAGGAGAAAAGTTTCCTAGATAGGCCAGGCTCTGACCGAGTTTAGGGTGACAAGGACACGTGTCTGCTTTGAACAGCCACCTGATACATAGTCTCTGTACTACAGAAGAGTCCGGACTGTGGGCTGTTCAGTGACGCCTTCAAGAGATGCTGTTGCTGGTTTTGTATTTAGAAAAGCCTCCAGAGAGCAGACAGGAAAAAGTCCCTTGGTGCTCAGTCACCAGAGTTTCCAGAAACGCCAGATGAACACAGCTCCCTTCCCTCAGATGTGGAAAAGGCCCCAAATATCAGTCGTTCCTACCACTTTTGGAAACAATCCCTTGGGACAGAATGCTACTGTTTGCTTCCAACAATCAATGGTGAGTCATAAACAGAGTGGCTTGAGAGACTGACCAGACCTCTTAGAGTCTTCTTCTCCCCGTGCCCCACCACAAGGCAGACCTCGGTCTCGGGGAATATGTATGTGCACAGGCCTTCCGCGGAGCCCACCCACAGCCACATGCACACAGAGGCTCAGAGGCAGGGGCAGGCGCCTACCTGTGTAGCCAGCCAGGGCAGCAGCAGGAATGACAGGCTTGTCCTTGTTGAGGTCAGCACGGTCACGCACATAGTCCTTGAAGGTGCCCTTGGGATTGTGGTTGGGCAGGGCGGCTGGATAGTCCTCGGAGTCGAAGCTGTCATAGGAGGGGACGCGCTGCAGGCTGTTGAAAGATGACTGGCTGCTCCAGGACTGGGTGAGGCGGTCACAACTATCGTAGCTCTCTATGCTCTCAAAAGAGTCCTGGCCCCCGAGTTTACCTGGAGGTGAAGGAGGAGGTGGGAAGAGAGCAGGGGAGGAGGGGTTGGGAAGAGACAACTGTAAAAACCCTCTTCGTGAGGACAGACTGCTAATCAGGCCCACAGGAGGCATGGAAGAAGGGAGAGGCTGAGGGAATGGAAGCTCGTGGGTCTGCTCCAGGGCGGAGGGGTGGTGCTGGCTGCAGTTTAAGCGCCACTGCACTGAGCGGTCTGGTTCTACGGTTCCTAGGACAGAGACTAGAAGCCAAGTGCTGTTCGTGCCTGTCAGAGGGAGACAGCAGTGCTTGGGACTGAGGAATCCTAGAGCCAGAAATCGCAAAGCTGAGAATCACACATGTTATTGTGGGGCTTCTGGCTGATCTATTAGACTGAATGAATAAACGAAGGAATCAGAGCCGCAGCAGATTCAACTCCCTCATCCAACTCAAGCCAATGAGATAATTTCCAAAGGCCCCAATTGGCAAAATATTTTGGTCACAAGAAAAAAATTCCATTAGACTAAGAGCAGATTGACCTCCCTTGACCTTGGAACTAAAGTGCTATTTTTTAGCATTTTTTCCAAATACTATTTTAAAATGAAATACACGTACTGCCTCTATGTCTTGTCTCTTCAAATAGAGAAATAACTCGAGATGCTTTTTCCAGGAGATTTAAAAAAAACACTATCACTCTTCTAAACAGAAATCTATACTGTTTATTCTCTCCAAGTACAATTTTGTACTTGAAATTTATACTTCAATGGGGAAGTGTGGGCAATTAAAAAAAAAGGAGCTGATGAAAGTTATTAAGGTCCACAGCAATGTCAGAAATCTTTCACTCTGTGAGTTGCTTAATGCATTCTTAACTGACCACAAGATCATGCAAGTTCATTAATTTCCCAAACCAGGTTATAAACAGCTGCTATCATTGCATAATCGTTCCAAGAGAAATTTCCATTGGCAAAAATGCCATTAAAAGAAGAGGCTAACAAACAAAATTTTTGGAGGAAAATGCATCTGAGAGCTGGAAAGGCTCACAGGAGTATTTCCTATGTTGTACTCCCACACACTTCCTAGGCAACCTAAATCACACCCTGGATGACTGAAGTGCGACACCAGTTTGGCACCAGTCACAAGGCCGAGGAGGTGACCAATCTGTGTGTAGAAACACCTGTAAGTCAACTCTCAGCTGTTCAGTGCTGGCTGAGCTGCTGGGGAGGTTAAACCCCAGAAGGAGGTTGGCCCACACAACCCCATGCTAGTGTGTTTTTGGCATGGTCTCCCTTTCCCTCCTAGTGGAGATTGGCTAAAACAACGAAATTCAAATATTTAGTCTTGGTGTCCAAGCCAAAATTTAATAAGGAGAAACTCAATTGAAAATGTATATCTATTTTTAAATTCCAATAAAAGGCATTTATTTAAATACGTAATTTTTGTATAACCCTCTTATCCCCTCCAGTGCTGCTTATACACAGAAAGGTGGTTAGGTATTCCTCTGCTTCTTCTTTGTCCTTCCTCCATTCGCCCACTCAGAGAAGCGTATTGTCCAGGAGGCAAACCCAGGAGCTTCATGGAGTTACAAGCCCTGCCTACCCAGTCCACAGTCACACTTACAACTCTTCAGAAAGGAAGGAACTGCCCCTCCCAGAAATCCACATTAAAAGACAACAGCCCACAACCAGAATGCTATGCCCTCTTTTTAACAGGGCGGTGTATGGCATCTCATCAGAAGGTGCTCACTCACACCGGCTATCCATCCTAACCCAGGTCACTCGAGGTCTCTGTGAGACAAACACACCAAAAGCCTAAGGAGGGAAATTCATATTTTCCTAAAGAATACCCCACTAAGTCACCAACGTTTAGGAAGCATTTGATACTTAAGTCTGTCTGGAATGATTCTATCTCTATCAGCCATTTTTCTTGTGGGATGGGCACAGAGACTGGAATTTCCACAGCAGACAGGTGCATTTCCAGAGTCCCAATGAGCAAGGAAGGACACCACCCTGGGCCTAACCATTCTCTGCATCCTCTTGGACAGGAGCCAAATGCCACTCTGTTGAGAGCTGCAGTTTAGAGCAGTAAATTGCTTTCACCTTAGCTCAATCTCACAATCGCAGAGCTAGGAACCATTGTTTCTGGGCATTTTCTGCAAAAATGGGTTGAATCCAACTGGATTAGACACTTGGTTGTGTTCCTGTGCTCCTGCAGAGAAGCACATGTCCTCAAAGACGTCCATTGGCCAACTTTTCTGAGAAATGTCTCAGCAAGGTCCTTCCCAAAGCTATCTGACTGCACCAAGCAGACCTCAGAGCACTCAAAACAGCAGATGGGGGGGGGGGGGGGGCAGAAACTCCCTGAACAGACTAGCACAATGACAGTTCTCAGAGTCTAAGTAAGTGGGACAGAGAAGCACTTTGTACGCTATAATGCAGTGTATAAATACTATTCTATTAATAATAATCAGCTAACAGTAATGCTTTCCATCTAGACCAATCATACCGTGCCAGACTCAGTCAGCCCCCGACACAGGCCCTGTGTGCAGCACCACTAACATGCAGAAAGCAGCCGTGCACAGAGCCGTCTGCGCCTCAAGTTCGTGTGGTCTGCAGCTTGGTGTGAGGGACGGAGAATGAGGCCAGAGAGAAATACCTCATGTCCCTTTGTACGGGTCATTATCTGCTCCACAGTTATTAATTTGGGGTTGGAGGGGTGGTGGGGGCAAAAACCAAGAACCAAGAGAAGGCGAGGAGGAGACAATTACACAAATGCAAAGCCAGACGCAATTTAAAAGCATGTGACAGATCTACCCAAAATTACAACATGGCTGAGCCCCAAACCCACAGGCTCAGCCTCATCACATACATATACAGAAAGACCTGTACGAAAGTTGTTCTAGCACTCTGATCTGCCTGAGGGTTTAAAAGACACACAAGCACATTTGTATATGTATTTAAATAGACATGCATCCAAAAATAAAGAGAGTCAGAAAGGGGAAGGCGAGCTGATCCCACCCATCCCCTTCAGCATGAAACACAAACACCCCAGGGCCAGAAGCAGCAAGATTACAGGTTCTGAGTTTGATAGGGACTTTCCCTGTGCAGGGCCTGCTGCTTGTCCTGAGGCTTCCTGGGAGGAAGTGTGAACCGGAACACTGGAAAAAGACAACAAGGCAGGTGGCCCAGGATGCCGACGGGTGATTCTCCAAAGTAAAGACACCTTTGCCCACCCCCCTGCAAGTGCCTCGGAGTAATGGGGAGATCACCGAGCAGAAGTCACGAGCAGGCCAGCCAAGTCTGTCTCCTGTGAACAAAGTCCTCTGAGCCCTCAGAAGGGCTTTCTGCTGTTCCACTTCCTGTTTGTAATTCTTTGCCATTTATCTACTGGAACGGTCATCTTTTTCAACTTTTTTAGACATCAGCTAGCTCCTCCTAGATGGATAAATCCCTTCTTATGATGGACTGTACTTCTCTCAAAAACAAAACGCTCTGCACATTTTACTAGGAGGGCTGCCCTTTTGGGGTTTCTGTCCAGCTCTTAGAAACTGAGTATATGTAACTTGTGTTGCTTTATAAAGTCAACCAGCTCTATTTTGAAATATTTACTGCAGTGAATATCTTATCATTGTTATCATAGGCATGTCAACAAGAGTACCTTCTTTTTGGAAGCCTCTTGGCTGGCCGGCTCGTGACTTCTGCTCTTTCCTAGGTTTTCTAGCTAAATACACACTTTTACTCCACTGGTGTGACCGGTTCCAAATAAACTACTTGTTAACCATCATGTATCTTCCCAAACCAGAGAAGTCACAGAAGGCTCAAGAGCCCAGGCTGAGCAGCAGCTGTGATTCGGACACTCGGGCAGATTCTGCGGCCTGACCCAGAATGCTCCAGGGAACATCAGGGCATGTACAAAACTAAGAGCTTTCCAGGAAGGTCACCTGAACCATTTTTATGTGAATGTATCCACTTTCAACAAAGTCTCTCAAAAGATAAATAAATAAAAATAAAGCATACCCTAAAGAACAACCACATTCAGCTGGAGTTATTACTTGGTAAAATGTTTTCCCCAAATACAAAATCTGATGGGTCATCCCACCAGATTTCAAGTGTACCGTGAACCCATGGTCTTGGTCATCCTGACAGACTTGGCTAAAACTCCATGATGGAAAGTTTGTAATACCTAGGCAGTCTAAGACAGAAAAGGCTGCACTAAACTGAGGAATATACAGGACCAAGAGTGAGGGGGAAATAGGAGGCCTGGACCACTCACAAAGTTAGGTAATTCTGGGAAACCAAGAGCTTCTAGAGAAGAAATCTGACCTACCACGACTGGTCCTCCCCATGCACATGTTGTCTGGCGTGACAACTTCTTGTTTGATGGTGAAGTAGTCAGTCTGCAAGGTGTCTGTCTGCAGAGGGTCCCGGAGAATGACCGAGGGGTAGTCGTTCTCATACTTGAGGGAAAGGAGCTCCTCTGAGCTGATGGGGTGGAGTGTCTGGTAGGACTCTGTGATGAAGCTGGGCTCTGAGAACTCCGAGGGAGGAACACACTGAGCATGCTCGATACCATAGCCTGGAAACAGAGAGTGTGGGGAATTAAAGAAGGGAGACATGTGTACCCCAAACCGGCATTTATAGCAGCCCCACAAAGTGAAATAATCTGACTACCTTAGAGAGTAAAAGGACAATATTTTCCATGACAAGAGCCTGGGCGTTTAACTTTGCTCCACTTCTTAACTGCTGTGGCCTTTGACAAGATCCCTCCCTTTTCTGACTCAAAAATAGGGATGATTGTAATCTTCCTCAGAGTGTTGTGTTAAAAATCAAACGAGAATACACTCGTATATATAAAATGTTCACCAACAGTTCTGGCACAAAATAATCTCTTACTACATAGTAGTTCTTAGAATAAAAATCATGATGAAGTGAAAAAATAAGGCAGACACCAAGCTGCTTAGGAGTCCCTTACGAAGCAGCACCATCAGATAAGAAGAGCCCCACAGGAGCTCTTCCCTGGCCACCCCCGCAGGGTGGGGAGGTGTCATATCTACACTGGAAGGGAGAAGGCTTTCTTTTCTGTAGCAGAATGTGGAGCTGTGTGGCACACTCCTGAGGAAGAATTCCAGAAGAAATGCTGTCATGTCCACTAGTAAAGGGAAGAGAACAGGGGCCATGACCAAGTCCCTCCCCCAGACCCCAGAGAGGCCCACAGTGCACAAGCTCCAGTAGGGATCAAGGTGAAGCTCTTGGGGAAAGCTCTGGGAGATATTAGAGAGATCCCCGTGTGTAGGAGCTTACAGGTCAATAAAACACATAAACAGGCTGAAGCGTTATGCTTTGTGGGAGAAAAATCACTAACAACTGGTCTGTCTTTAAGAAAATACTGTTTGCCGTAGAATTATGGTGAAGGAGCTTGGGTTCAACTGGGGCAGGGTTCCTTTCCTAAGTTCCCAGTGTCATGAGCAAGGTCAGGGAAGGAGAGTGGAAGGGGAACTTACTAATGAAGTAATCCGAGGTATAACGGGATTCTGGGTAAGTTGGGTTGACTCCATTAACTTGATACGGTTTCACGTCCTCTGCAACAGACAGGGTAAGGGATGAACAGAGAGGTCAACACACAAGTGCTTGGCCTGAAAGGATCGTGGATGCAAGAACCACAGTGACCTCAGCCCCTCTTCTAAGAAATCCGCGTGTTCACTAACTGAGTTGGCCTGTGAGTCCACCCTGACTGGGGCTTTGTCTAGAGATGAGATCACAAGAGGAAGGCTAAGTTTACTTTGTTCAGTAGCTGCAAAATGGGACTTGGTATCTTGGAAAGAGCACCAGTGAGTAATCTCTATGAGCTGGGGAGGCATCCCGCCCTCATTCTGATGCGGGTGTGGGTGCCTGGACCACAGGAGCATCACAGGCTAGTAGGCAGCTGGGGCAGTTACCCAAATCAGTCCCAAGTGCTCAAACTGATCACCTCTAAAACTTTTCAGAAATATAATGAAATCTTCAGACAGGGAGATTTGATAGTCTCCATTTCTCCTAAGAGATGTCTGCTTTTTGTTAGATGGTTCTTCATTGCCCCCAGACTTCAAGTTCAGGCCCAGATAAGCAGCAGGGCACCAGTAAGGTTACTATTTGGTGAAATGTGCATGCAAAGACACAGAAGAAGAGCATAACGAAACTGCTTTCCAGGTGCCAACTTCCCCAGGAATGAGGCAGGAATGCAGACGGAGGGAAGTGAGCACAGAGAGCCTCCCCACGGAACGAAAGTGACCTGGCAGATCCTCCAGTTACCCTGGAACCAACTCGCCTGGCCTCTGACCCTTGTATGGAGTAGTCTGATTCAATGTCACTGTCAGAATCAGACCAAGGGAGTGTTGCTTTGGATTTTTCCTCGGGTATCTGATAGCGTGTTGGGAGCAGAGGCTGCTGAGAAAACAAGTTTATGCCTGCACAGAAAAACATTTCCCAGTGGAGATAAAATGATTAAACTTTGCTTTAGCAGCTTATCAGATTGAAACATCCCCTGCACCTTTGGCCTTCCACCCCACCCCAAACAGCTATGTTCTTTTTGTGCTGTGTTGCTTTAGTGTAATTACAGAACCAAAAGCTGCAGCCTCGGTACAAACATCTCACTCAGCTCTTCCAGGATCTGAAGACGGATGATTCTTGCTGCCTTCTCAACAGAACAAGGATGAGATGATACGACTTGCCCCTGAAAAATGCTCAATCATTTCCAAAAGCTCCTAAAGTCTCTTCATTTCTCCTTCTGCCAGAAAGTAGACCAAACCTGTCTTGGGGACCAGAGGCTCCCCCATGAGTCCGTGTTACTATGCAAAGGACACAAGGCAGGAAATTAAAGAGAAAAGACGTGGGTTTAAGAAAGTGAATGCTGGTGAGGAAAACGCCTGAGCTGTCCTCGCTTGACAGATGTGGACACTAATCATACCTGCCTTTTCGGCCTCTCAGGGCGGTTGTGAGATTCCTAAGAGAAAATGTACTTTAAAGCGCTCTAAACACATGAAGATGCTGTATAGATATGAATACGACTCTGATCAGAAACAGTTTAGACACTCCAGAACACCTGGCCACTCCCCGGTGGGAAACAGGGGAAAGCAGTGGATTAGGGGAAGATACCTGGGCTGCACGGTCTGGTAGGAGCCAACACTCTGTTTATAAGCCATCGGTCACATGGGACCTGTTCTGAGCCTGCTGCACCTTCTCCCTCTGCAAACAGGTCACGCTCGTCAACACAACGAGTGGGAGTCTGTGCAGCCACACGGGGAACACGTGGGTGCTTCGGGGAAGGCTGTGCGGCCGCCCCAGTCCTCAGTCCTCGGCCAGGGTGACCGCAGAGAGTCACCTAGTTCTTGCCCCTGTTTATTTATTTATTTTTCAGCAGAAGCTGAAGAGTAGGAGAAAAGATAACACCTCTACACCCGGAGGAATCTAAATTGGGTCGTTCTTGAGCACTGCAGTGTGGAAAGTATCCTTAAACAAAGGAAGGTATTATATGGAATAAAAGTGCTAATCCTGAGCTTTGCTCCCTGTCCCCAGGGCCCTCGCCAAGGGTTGGAGCTGGTGACCACAGAGAAAGGGTGGGCCTGGGTCAGAGAGGGCAACAGGCTTCTAGGCTTACAGTCAGCTGGAGGGCACTGCTGACTGCTGGTAACTGCGATTTATTTTAAGAAGAAATTCAGAAAAATAAGCACAAAAACACCCAAGTTTGCCGCCTGCTGCTGTTTCTATACTCAGCCAGGACTGTGGTACATGAGTCACTTGGTCCAAAAAGGTTGAAGGAGACTAGTAGGGAGGCCATGCCATTACAAGGTTGCAACACAGTGTCCTGACACAACCCCAGTTTTCGCTCGGGCTGGAGAAGGTGCCACACACCCCTACACTTCCAATCCAGCTAGTGGGCAGAGATGCCTGTCTTATTAATAAGCCCTGAGAAACTGAGCTTTGTGATGGACATAGCCAGGAATCACAATATATTAAAGGATGAAGGGAGTGTGCACTAAGGTCACCAGGAAAAAAAAAAAACCTTGGGGCTGTGGGCACTGCCTGTGGAAACAGTTGGGAGTCTGAGATAAAGACTGCATCCCAATGGTGCATACCAAGAGGCTTCGGGAGTACAACCTTGCTAAAGATTAAAATCTGAACCTCCAGTACATAGAGGCAAGAGAAACCGATGTTGAGGGAGCACCTGTACTGGCGTGTCTCCTTAGACCACACAGGCTGCAACAGGACACCTACAGGGGACGGGACCGGGTTCCACCATGGGGCACGCTCACCTGTCCACCTCCTCTCACAGCTACTCCACCCTGCTTCCTCCTCACTCTGTGCACACACACTCACCTTTCTGCAGGATCTCCAGATGTTCCCACAAGATGTCCCCGACGAAGTCTGGGGCCAGCTCGAGAAAGCAGTCTTTCCCCAGTGCACAGAGAGCTGCTCCGTTCATGCAGAACTTCTGGAAGTCCACGCCCTTCAGGCTGAATTCGTTCACAGCCCACATCACCCAGTCCCGAACATGGGTTTCTGTCCACTGCCGGGGGTCTGAGGGAAGAGATGAAATGAAGATCCAGCGAGTCAGGCTCTGGGTTCCGACCCAAGCCTCGGAGAGGACCCCAAAGGGACTGGACTTGGCTGAGGATGTTCTCCGATTTTCAGAACTGGGAAGCACCAGCTTGTAAAGGCATGTCATGCGGCAACTTCCTCCTGCCTGAGTCCCACCACCTGCTCTGTCTTGTCAGCTGGACCGTTCTAACAGACGTCAGCCAAAACACTGACACATGAGTGCCGGCACTTCCCACCCTCATTCAGACAATTTTCCCAAACGCTCCTCTCTCACCGCCTTATTTCCATTACACCCTTCTTTTAAAGCTTGAGACAAGGGAAAGATGACTACTTTAATAATAACCAAGTCAAGTTTACTCCAGAGATGACCCCCAAGTCTCCCTGCTCTTCATTCTTATAATGTACTTGAGACTATTATTCTCAATTATTTTTATCTTATCTGATTATGGTTGGTAATAATCACAATAATTAGTTCTAGTCATTCAAATGGTAATTAGTAAGACCATTATCAGGTACCTGTATTATACTAGATACCATGCAAAGCATGTACATGTCACAGGCCTGGTGCTGATGAGCCCCATAGCGCAGACAGAACATAATCTTCACACGTGGCCCGAGGTGTAACATCGCCACGCCAGCCACAGCACTCAGAGAGCTGCAAAGGTGGCGGGTCACAGTGCCCACATCATGCCTGCTTGCAAGGTTCGTTACATCCTTCCATTTAGCAGGTGACTTTAGGAGAGGTTGGTCTGAATGCACCTTATCCTGCCTGTGATCCTAGAAGAACACGGGCACAGCTGTCCGCAGAGGTCTGGCGGGGTGGTATTCTTGGGGAAAGGTGTGGAGACGCAGCCCCAGGCTCTGTCTGAGGCCGGTTCTGACGGGCTGGGAGCCTCTCAGGGCTGCTCTCCAGAGAGCATCCCTCTTACTCAATAGCCCAGTGTTCTTGCTACTCTCAGCTATTCAGGAAATGCTGCTTGGTGAAGGCTTAAGTGTTCTCCAGTCATTTCTTCTTTCTGACAACTCTAGTCCCCTGACATTCCTGAATAAACCCTTTCAGAGGAGAACACCCAAGAATAAACACATTTCACCACAGTGCATGTAAAAGAAAAGAGCAATCAGTAAATTCCAAGAAACCAAGCTCACAGAGTTCACCCAATGGCAGCCCAGAGCGACATGAAACTGTGTTTTTTCCAAACTGTCTGTCCTTTGAAATCACTTGAGGAGCTTCAAAGATGCTAATGTTACCAGCCAATTAATTATGACTTAATGAGTCTGGGACATGGCCTGAGTGGGGGAGATTTTTGAAGATCTTGAATGTCACGTGCAAACAAGTTTGGGAGCCAGGGCCCGAAGACCACAATGGCAGCAAGGAACCTGGGAGACGGAGGGGCACCCACACAGGTCTGGGATGGCCCTAACAGACAGGTGCCAAGACCCGTAGCTGCAGACTTTAGTGTGGGCAGCAACGTCTACCTCACACTGCAGAGGAGAAGACTAACCGGACCTAAAAGGTTGATCCTAACCTCTCTTTTCCAAGGACAAAGCTTACCTTTGGGAATTCCCAGTCTTTGCTGCTCTTTGGAGAAACCACTGAAAGTAGCTTTCAATGCTTGAGACATCATTTCTTTGCTGCTTGGAGTTAATAGTGGGACATCTGCACATTCCATATCTGAAAGAAAAAACACACGAATCCAAAAACTAAATGGGTGATGGATCATTCTGCAATATATACAAATATTACAGCATTATATTATACACCCAAGACTAATACTAGAAAGTCATATGTCAGTTATACCTCAATCCAAAAAAACTAAATAGGTAATGGATCACCCATAAACCATAACAGGGCATGCATGGTCTAAAGAAGACAAACTGAAAAGTAATTAGACTGACATCCTACTTATCCTTCATAATTCTCTGAGAGCATTAATGTTACTGTGTACTCCCAGTTACCTATGAAAAAGGAAATGAGAATATCCATTCATTCAACTATCATTTAGCACTTGGAATGTGCAAGGAATTAGAGAGACATCAGTAAACAGATGAAAATAATCCCCATTCTCATGAAGCTGGATATTAGGTTCTGGCAGAAGATACAGTCCTTAAAAACCTAGTTACACAATTAAACATTCAAAACATTCATAGGGGCTTCAGAAGAGAAGTAAAGAATAGTATGTTAAGATGTAACAGGAATTCCAGTTGTTCTGGAGAACTCAGAGAAGGCCTCCCTTAGGAGAAAAGGGATGTTTGACTTGAGATCAAAAAGATACATTGGAGTTTGAAAATGAAAAATAATCTAGACCAATGGTTCTCAAACTGTGGTCCTGGACCAGATGTGTCAGCATCACCTAGAAGTTGTTACAGATGCCAAATCTCAGCCACTCTCCAGACCTCCTGAATCAGAGCCTGTCAAGGATGGGGCCCAGGAATCTGTGTGTTTAACACAGAATCCAGGTGACCCTAACAACCACTGATGTCAGAGGACCATGACCCTAGAAAGAGGGAGCAGCATAAACGGAGGCCATGAGACAGAGGAGGCGAGGAAACTTGGCTTATTTTAGTATCAACAAGATCTGAAGCTGCAGCAGAGTGACAGGAGGACAACTGCTTGAGATGAAGCTAGAAAGGTGAAGAAGGATGTCCCTGGCCAGGTAGCTGAGTTGGTTAGAGCATCATCCCCATATGTATAAGGTTCAAGGATTGATCCTCGGTCAGGACACATAAAGAATCAACCAATGGGTGCATAAATAAGTGGAACAACAAATCGATGTTTCTCTCTCTCTCTCTCTCTCAGAAAAATCAATAAATAATTTCCTTAAAAAGGTAAACAAGGAATACATTAAGGAATTTCTATTTTTATCCTAAGTAGAATACAAAGGCATTGAAAGTTTTATGCAGAGGAATGGCATGACTGCATTAAGAAGATCACCTTACGGTGATTCTATTTTTAATTTTTTGAAGTGGCTGCATGATTTCAATTTCCCACCAAAAGTGCACACAGATCCCACATCCTTACCAACACTTTTTACTTTCTGGGGTGAGGGAAGAGGGTTGGGGAGAGGAAAGAGTAGCCATCCTAATGGAGGTGAAGTGGTATCACGCTAGTTTTGATTTGTATTTCTCTAATGATTAATGATGTAGAGCATTCCATGTGCTTCTTGGCCATTTTTGTATCTTCTTTGGACAAATGTCTATTCAAGCATTTTTCTCATTTCTTCATAGAGTTCTTTGTTTTTTGTTATGGTGGTGGTGGTGGTATTGAGTTTTAGGAGTTTCCTACATACCCAAAAGAGCTGAAAGCAGGGTCTCAGAGGGTATCTGCACACTTGTGTTCTCTGTAGCCTTATTCACAATGTATAAAGTGTGCAGGCAATCCAAGTATTCATCAACAGATAAATGGATAAGCAAAATGTATATATACACACATACAATATTACTCATCCAATATGGTATGATTTCCTTCCTCAAAAAGGAAAGAAATTCTGACATATACAACATGGATGAACCTTCACATTATGCTACGTGAAATAAGCCAGCCACAAAAAAGAAAAATTCTATGAGGTACTTAGAAGAGTCAAATTCATAGAGGCAGAAAGTAGAATGGGGGCCAGGGCCTGGGGGAAGGGAGGGGGTGGGGAGATGTTGTTTAATGGGTACAGAGTTTCAGCTTCAGAAGAGTTCTTGAGATGAATGGTGGTAATGGGTGTACGGCATTCCACAAAACTACACTTAAAAATGGCCTGGATGGCAAACTTGGTTATATTTCTTTTACCACATTTAAAAAATGGAAAAAAAATGAAGAGGATCACCTCAGCTACCCTGTTCAGGAGATAACTATAAATGGATGTGGGTAGACTTGTTAAAAAGTTATTGCATCAGTTGCGGCGAGAGATGAGGTAGCATGGAATAGGACAGTGGCAATGCAGAGACTGTAATTAAACAAATTGGAGGTGCATATAGGGGGTAATATCTATAAAACTTGACTTATATAGGTAGTATGCAAGGAGGAGGTATCAACACCTGCAGATTCACAGATGTGTCGCCCTTTGAGCTATACCCGGGTACTTCCTCATCTCCTCTGTGTTCAATTCTTCTTGAACTCGCAAACCATGTTCAAGCAAGAATACATAAATACGGCTCGAGTTTAAAGTCCTCGGAATTCACCTCAGGCTCAGTTTCCCACAAAAAGTTCCTAAGCAAGGAAACGACATGAGAATTCCTACTAGCCATCGGTCCTGCGACCTTCAAGCAGTAAGTCCCCAAGCCCTCTTCTTCAGCCTCTATCTCCAGCGTGTCCTACGAAACTGGCTCACACAATGGCCAAGTCCCAGGCATGGATGTAGTGGAAGTTCCTCAGCGAGCCATCTCTGAACCCTGGCTGGTCACAGAATTCCGTGGGCACACATAATATGCTATTTATTGGCTGAATGAAACGGATACACATGAGAGAAAAAATGACTTAAAAAAAGGAGCAAATGTACTGCTTCCGAACGTCCAAGTGAAGGGAAATGTGTTAGAAGAAAGAAGGGCAGGCGGCACTCTCCTGCCAAGTGGCCTTAAGCAATGCTGTCCGGCCCCTGCCCTGGAGGCACGGGCTTCCCTGCAGCTGCTCTCCCAGGCCCTGCCAGGGCGCGGGAATCTCGAGTTCCAGGGAGTGGAGAGTTTGCGTTGCCCTGGGACATGCCCAACTAAATCTAGTGGAAAAATCAACATGCCTCCAGGAAGGTTGACAAAATGATGGAAAATCCCAGATTGTGAGCATAGCGGGGGGGGCGAGAATAAAGTGATGATTATGTAACAGCCAGCCCTTCAAACAATGGAGCCATCATCAAATGAGTCACTAAGAAAGACCAACGCTCTCCCTTTGTCCCCACTCTACACAACCAAGACCAGCTAAGTGGCAGGTCCAGAAACATCTCCCCCCAGACTACAGGTCAGTTTCACTTTAGAAAAAGAGACAATGTAACCCCAGAATATTGCATCGGGAAGCAAGGACAGCTGTAGGCCCCCTAGCTCCTAGCACAGGCCGAAACACAGAAGTCAATTAACAAATGTCTAGTGAATTCAACATTTTCCAAACCTGAATCAACTTTCCCTTCTTTCCCTCCCATCCGACACCAATTCATGAACTTAAACCGTGAGGGTTTTGTCTTGCGTGTTTGCTCCCTCCGTTAGATTTATGACTCGATGAAAAGGACTTTACGGATGGCGGAAAGTGTCCAGGACAACACATGTGGAAAATACAGGCCAGGCCGAACAGACGAGCTGTGCTTCTGCTGCGAACTCCAACTGAAGAGTGAGGTTGGCTGGGTGGCCCCCAAGCATCTTCAAAACAGGACAGCTCGGGGAGTCTGATGCCAGGGTGACGTGAAGGCCAAGAATGACAGCAGAAAGCCTGAGAATGAGGTTTTTTTCCCTGGAGTCTGCTTCCTATAATTTCACATGGTCTGGCTGCGTGGTCTGGGCAGGACCACAGAGGGGCGAGGGGGTGGCTGACCCCGCTCCACAGAGGTTTCTGCTTCCTGTCAGGAAGCCAGGCTTGCCGAGTCCTCACCTGTTCTCTACCAGGGAAGCAGCTGGAATGACTTCTGCCTTCCACCTCAGTGTCATCTTTAAAAACCTGGTCCACAAGCCTCCAGCGGCAGCTGCGCCATGCCCATTGGAGCTGCCCTTGGCTGAGGCCTCAGAGTGCTGGGTCTCTGGAAAGAGTGCTCACAGCGCAGCTGGTGGAAGCTCCCCCTGCGCACCCGGGACACCTGCACTGGGACCTGAGCTCAGGACAAGGTGTATCATGGGCCTGGGACCCAAAGGATTCAGACAAGAAAGTCAGAGCTTTATCTGCCATTTTTAGAAAGGGTGGAAGTTTGGCTAAAAAAAAAGTCAAACATCCTCAATAAGTGAGTGAAAACTATCCAGATCGTCTTAGTACCAGTGACATTGCATTTAAATGATGAAAACTCACATTCTAAAGTGGATATTGATGAAACTCTTATCATGTAAACATGAATACAAAAATTCCCTCTGTGTTGCTGGTGTGCGAGTGTGGCAGTTCGGTTCATCACATTGATCCAAACCAATAATGAAGTCCTTACACAGGTGGGGCCCAAACAGGCGTCTGTTATTCTAACCATCCTCCACCTCACTTCCTACTAGAGTGTTTTTGTATGAGACACAAAATACTGCTAGTTGTAGGAACAGCATCTAAAAACTCAATCAATGCCTCCACAGAAATCAACTAAATGTATGTTATGGACAAGCACTAAAACGGCCTTTGTGTCAAACTTCAAAGAACACATCTGTCTCAAAGTGCTGTAAACCTGGCCGAGAAATCCACTACACCAGTGCGGTGGAGACACTAAACAACACAGTGCACCAGAAACGGGAAACATAAGTATATTACAAGTACATTAGATGTCTTACTGGCTTATTATCCCTCAGGACCCTAAATCTGAGTTAATATTTACAAGAAGCACCCTAAGTTTCTGAGAGGCGCTCACAGAGGCCGGTGAATAAATAACACTCCTGAACTGTCTTACCCAGGCGGCAGCCTCGAGGCGGAAACGAGCAGCAGGTAGCTTTCCTTGAATCAGTGGGCGTATAATGAGCCGGTGGCATTTTGAATGCAGGGAAACATCTGCTTATTTTTCACTGCGGCCTAACCCTGAACAA